GTATTATACGGACGGGGCCATTTTATTTACATGCAAAGCATTCTGGATAAATGATGATGTGGATAGGTCCTCAGTGTGAGGCTGCTAGCGAGCTATATCCACCCTGAAGGTTAATCTTGGACAATATCTGATGATCGACTCTTTTAAATGAAACCAGAGAGCGTTGACAGAGAGGAGAGGGTAGAAATGACTCAACTTGTAACGGAAAATATGGATGGAGGACCTCAGTTTAGCTTCTTAATTTGTCGCGCTAGCGCCGAGCTAATACATATAAGGCAGTATAGCGTTGGTGCTAGCGCGAAGGCTTACAGGCTAAGCTGAGGGTCATCTTCCATGAAGCAGCTCTGTTGTCCTCCATCCACATTTTTAGTTGTTGACTGGACTGTTTCTACCTTCTCCTCTCTGTCAACGCTCTCTGGTTTCATTTAAAAGAGTCGATCATCAGATATTGTCCAAGATTAACCTTCAGGGTGGATATAGCTCGCTAGCAGCCTCACACCAATGACCTACCCACGTCATCATTTACCCAGAATGCTTTGTGTGCAAATAAAATGGCTCCCTCCATGTTAAAATATATATTTTAAAATTTACAAAACTAAACATCCTACAGTATTTTTACAGTATTTATTTTACAGCTAAAATATATGTTTATCAAATAAAGTCTAATGTTACAACTAATCATGGATCCCTTTAAATATAAATGGACTTTTTTTACATTTAACAAAAGTTGTTTGAGCAATTTGTTTTGCTTTCGGTTTGAGTCTGGCGCTTTCCAGTCTCTCATCTTTAACAGTTTACTACAAAAATGTGCTAATAAACTTAAACTTTTCCACCGTTATAAAGATATAGGTAAAGACAAATCCAACGCTCCTGCGTTTTTTCAGGCTATAAGTGTAATTATACGTCCAATTCAAAAGCTTTGTTCTTTTGTCAAAAGCTGTGTCACTTAGCAGTTAGCTTGTATAAGCTAATAGCTACCTTTTTTTACCCTAGGCATATCAGTTTTAAATAATTTTGGATTTGATTTTTGTGCACAGATGATAAACGGAGATATAGAAAAACTTGTCCCATGATACAGTGCCTAAACCATGCAGCTGTGCAAACCCAACAACTTGTCTGGTGAAGTTTTTCTGCTGTTGTGCGTTTGTCCCAACCCTAGTAGCTGTGTAGGACACTAAATAGCAGTGTTTACTGTTTGTGTTCGGACATGAAAGTTAACAAAAGTGAAGTTGAGGCCACCCACAGGACTGCTAGAAAGTTATAAATCCCCTGATTAAAAAATTAATCAATAATAGGGCCAAACCTAAATGATCAAAACCTGATTTAGCTCCTATTCACTAATMAGTTGTATACGTTTGATAAGATTTWTTGATACAGAACATTTCGGTGGTTGATTAGATTCAATTAATGAATGATACTTTATTGATCCTGAAGGGAAATTACAGTTTGGAACAACCCGTAAATGTCAGCGGATTGTTTCCTCTGGTAGTAAGGCACAGTATGACTGAATTTACTGTAGCAGTTGAAGAGGGTGCCCTTTCACATGCCAGTATATTTTATATTTTATTTGTTTTGAAGATAAATATGGCAAAGGTAAACAGGTTGTGACTTCAGTTAAAATTTAAAAACGTTACAGCTATATTAAGATTGGKTTTAAGCAAAGATCTTATTTTATTTACGTTTTATTAAGCTGAGAATGTTTCTTGAACTACCAGCAAAGGTCACTTGGCTGTATATTCAAGATTTTTCCCACATGTACGACTGCAAGTATAAATCCGTCCTATCAGAATTCATGTCTGCTTGTGTGTTTTCGTAGTGCCTGTCACTCCATCTGTCCCCGAGCTGTCCTCCTGTCTCAGTGCCATCAAGTTCACCCAGGCTCCCCGTTTGTCTCTCTGTAGGCCTCTGGGGTCAGAGGAAGGTTGATCCTGTGCACGCGGGTTGTGGGAACTGCAGCATGCATGCAAAATCCGTGCAAATGTTAAAGAAAGCCCGATGTCCATAAAAAGTCACAAGGAAACATGTGGGTGAATTTAAAAAAAGCAGGCGATGGTTTGCTTTTTTTTCTGTGAAGAATGTTAGGCATGTCCATGGAGAGTTCCTCCAGAAGATCTGGCTCTCAGTCCGTCCCAGAGTTAATGGGGTGAAGAGTTGTGATGACACCCCGATGGCCCACCAGTCATCTGAAACATATGCAGGAGCAGTTCTTCCTCTATAACGCACTGATTCAGGTAACTCTTGATGCCCTGGCAGAGCTTTTATTTATTTTATTTTATTTTTGCTTTAGAGCAATTTGTTTTGTACTGTATATGAAGCTGAATGAGAGGATTAGAAAATGAAAATTATTGTAAATCTGAAACATCTTTMTTGTCTCAGTTAATAATATAGTTGAGGCACTGATCGCCACATTCCTTTGAAGGAAATTTAAATGTTTACTACTGATTTTACTGCATCACACATACTGTTTTATATCTAGGTTAACTGGAATATATTTTGATTACTACTTATTTTGCCTAATCATCTACTTCTACGATTTAACTGTGATTTAGTCGAGGTACCATCAGGTTTGAGTGACAGTTGACTCAAATAGAATGTGCTCTCTTTGATACATGTAGTTGATACACACTCTGACCCCACATAGATATTTTTCTCATTAATTGGCAGGAAGTGTGTGAGAGATTCTGGTCACGTGATTAAGGAGACCTGAGTAATCATGGGTGTAATGTTTTGAAGTGGGCGGGGCCAGATTCTGAAAATGGTGTTTAAAACAAGAAAACATTCCCTGAATCGAAGCCAAAAATCCCGACTGAATAAACRTCTGTATTTTTGGTCCAGCTAGCTGAGTGTTGTGTGAAAATTTAAGTCTCTTTGGTATTTATGTCTGGTTGTCAACAAGCAGTGGAGTAACTGAACACACTTTCCTTTCACCTTCTCCACAGATCACCTTTAAAATAAACTCCTTTGCTACCATAATATTTTATGCTGTGTTAGTTTGCTTAAGATGTTTTAACCACATCTGGCAGCCAGTATTCATATTACAAACAGCTGAAACACACACCAAAACAACACGCTGGCTGGAACTGACTCCTGTTCTGCCTACCTGCAGGTGTTTGGGTTGAACCTCTTGCCCTGCCGCAGACAGGTCTGTGGACTCTCCCTGCACTGACACAGGCACGTGTCAGGGTTCAGGGGCTGACTTCGTGGACATTCGACCGCGCACACACAACCGCAGAGCTCGTCGTCCCACCGCTGGCCAGAAGGACACGACTTCCCCTCGCCCTGTCCTTCACACTGGCACTCGCCTGAGGAAAGATTATCATCCAAGGTAGGAAAAGAGAAACGATGAATTTAAAGCTCAGATATTTTGAAATGCTGTTCTGTGAAAACATTAACAGTAGTTTACTAGGGATGCACGATATATTGGCATTAATATCGGCATCGGCCGATATTGGTCATTTTATAGAATATCGGTATCGGTCCGATATGTAAAACTGGGCTGATATTAACGTTCGATATTGATTTCCCAATTTTTTATCTTTGTGTTTCTGTTTTGGGAGGGGACATGGTTGGTTGAGCAGAATCTGTTTGATCATGATGGTGATATTGTCGCTGCGCAGCCAGGAATAACTGAAGTAGAGYCATGTCAGAGSTCTGGTTGTTTATTTACAGTATCAAAAAAGACCCAAGTGTGTTTGTGTGTATATATAATTTGTGTGTTTGTCGGCCATAACATCAATAATTATATCGGATATCGGCTGAAATTTTCATATCGGTGCATCCCTATATTTTACTCATTATATGTAGCTCTTTGGAGACTGATATGCTCACAACTAAAGTGGATTACTGTCATTAAAAAATAACTGATCTGACAAACGTCATGGCCTTTCAYTCAAATTTCTATGTTACAAAATGTTACATTTCAGCAGCTAGTTGTAGCACTGATGGGGCAATGAGTTGTGTAAATACAAAACTGACAGCAATGTAATGTTTTTAAAATAGTTTTCAGGTGAACTTGTATGAAATCTTAGAGATTGGACTTGCAGCAATCCACTTTGGTCCTGGCCCTGCTCAAACTAACCTTCAGCACTTCTGTCTTGTCACAATTACACTCCAAAAGAAGCCGTTCAAAGAGCTGTCTACCACATGTAAGGTATTGTTTACAACCACAGAGGGTTATGTGAAAATCTGTGGAAATTAAAAATCCAATTTAATTAAATAATCCATCACATAGTAAAGTGTCAGCAGTGTAGGGCCTAATGTTTCCCAATCATGTTTTTACTTGCACTTAAAACTATTTCTCCCAAGCTCCAGTTATGTGTTTTTATTTTAATCTTGATCAGCTGTCTTTAGACTGATAGCCCTTTGGAGTATTTAAAGTAACCATGTCTCAATGAAACCACAGCTTGCTTATCAGAGTTTGAAACATGCAAAGCCAAAGAAGACAGTAAAAATAAAAAGGGTGATAACTATAGGAGTTATACAGACTCAGTTTTAACTAGTCACATTCTAAGATTCCTTGGTAGAAATTAAAATAACAGGCCTTTTGTTTTCTGGGTCCCCCACAGTGATAAACCCATATGGGTCCTATCTTTTTATAAATAAAACAAAATACGCAATATAAATTAACAAATGAATAGAAGGACACTTGAGGTTTATGTAACACTTATACCAATAAACACACAGTAACAATAAATATGGATTAAAAGGAAACCACATGGTGCCTGTTAATCAACCCATTTAACACACTGGCCCTTCACGCACATGTTGACTGATCAGAGCTTCAGAAAATTATTTGAAACACTCTCACTTTTTGCCTTCTTTTAATCATTTTGCCTGGGTTAGGTAAAAGGGTATGTTTGATCGTGTGTGCCACAACTGAATCAGTCCTTACAGGTGTTTCGGTCCAGTTTCCAGCCTGGATCACAGCTGGCTTCTGTGAGTCCGTTTTGGCAGACGCACTCACAGGTGGATTCCTCCAGAACCCTGTTGGGCCCACACAGAGCCAGCAGACTGGAATCCAGTGCCTCTGGAAGACAGAAAACGATTAAAGAAAAGCAGTGGCTGTTTTCTTCTCTTTAGCTGGAAGACATCAGGAGTTCACAAACGATCAATTCTAATGACTTATAATGTCTGAAGTTGTTTTTTTACTAAAATGTCTTTCCCATAAAATGTAGTTATGTTGTTAAATGTTAGATCTTTTAAAAACTCCCGTTTCTTTCCAAAGACTATTTATGTACATAGGGTTGCAGGTGGTAGTGCAGTAACAACCTGAACTAAAATGAACTTTATAAAAAAATGTATTTTCTAATATTCGACACCTTGAGGACAATGTTTAGCTGACAGCTTCCCAGAGCTAATTATTGTTTTTGAATACCAATAGAGCAAACAGCTCTGTGGATAAAATAGCTATAAAAAGGAATATTTTCTTTGTTCCTCTGTTTATATTCATTTAACCGAGTTTACATGTTGAATATTTAATTTTAAGCACATCTCCCAGAAAAACAGAAAAACATGTTTGCCCTACTTTGTCTACTTTTTGCATACCTGCATTCACAATTCAGCCTTTCACCCATAGTTATATGAATTACAGTTCATTTTGCAATAAGTCAGCAGGGTTAAAATTAGAAAAAAAAACATTTGAAGGTGGAAGGTGATAATGTGATTGTACAAGTAGAAAGCCATAAAAACATTCCCACTTCAATTTACTCAACATGGATAATTAGTTTTAACCCCCCACCCAAGCTGGTTAGGGTTTGCAGCTTAAAAAAAAGTTGGTTTATTTCTCAGATGTTTTGAATGACTTTGCAGTCGTGTTCATAGCTGTGAGCCATGCAAAAGGCATAAAACTTGGTGTTGTAAAATAATTGAAGAATAATAATATTGCCAAAAAGGAATCTGGTGCTGCTCTTTCAGTCTCGTTCCTAATGCCCAACTCTCAAATGGTAAGTAATGATGCTGCAGATAAGACCTGTCTTCAATGGCAGAGAGATTTTCTTGGAATGCCAGATGTTAAGGTTGGATGTGGCTCCTCTTGCAATGGCTAGTCTGATGTTGAATTCATTTTGGGAGATCTTGTCGGGCRATCATGAAGCTTTCAAACAGCTTCWATTGGTTCCTCCTCTGTCATCTCTGGTCCTCCACCATTCAGAGTCACAGCCTTTGTTCTTGTTGGATTCATTTCCAAACCATCTGCCATAACATGTCCTTAAACCTGACTGACTTTCTGAGCAACTAAATTTAGGAGAACTTTTCAGGCTGAGCACTAAACTCTAACTCCTGCAATGTTCGGAGTTTTTTTCTCTCTGCTTTTTTTAACCAGGGGTGCCAGCAAAGCACCACCCCCTGAGAATAAGCTGGTCACCCAAGTAGTCCCCCCAGTTTTATCCTCTTGAATACCCAGGTTTTTCCTTTTTCAATTCCCCTACCTTACAGGAATAGAACCTCCATTAATATAAAAACAAACAGATTTTTTTTTACAATTAAGGGTTGAAAACATTAATTTATATTTTATTTAAACTATTAATTTAAATTAAATTGTAGCACCTCTGAATAAGGACAACCAGACCAGTCTAAAACCATTCTCAAATAAAGAATGGGGTTCTCAGGAGGTTATATTCATAGATATATTTTAATCAWATATTAATTAAATAATTTTAATGATTATATAATAAATATAAAATTAGGCAACATATTGCCTCTAAGGAAGAAGGTTGCTAGATCAACTTTCTGTTCTCCAGGTACTCCAGTTTTTTTTTATCACAGACCAAAATCATATTTATTATATGACATGAAAAGCAAATAACTTAATTGTTTGGAATAACACTACAGTAGATGTAGTTTGTAATTGTGTTTGTTTTAGTCTTTATTTCCAGTTTTGGGGTTTTACAATCAAAGTTTTTCTTCACAAAAGTAAACATCAATAAGCAAATAAAAATTTTAACATACATTGCAGAGGTGATGCATTTCAATTTTAAAAATCTTGTTCCTTGTAAATGTCTTTAAAATATGTATTTTTGACATTTTTTAATAAAATGACAATCATTTTTGAAGGGAACTGTCCCCATCAAATTTAAAATTTAATTCATTTAAACCCTCACATTTACCATAAAACTTTAGTTCATCCAGTGTTGTTTCTCTTGCTTAACAAATAAATTTATTTAGTTTTACCTGTAGAATACTCACGTTAATTGTTTTCCTATATAGGCAAAAAATCTGTTTAACAACCTGTTAAAATACACCAGAATGCAGGAAACGGCATTTACTTCTTTAAAAATTTTCTGTGGGACGACCCCCAGACCCCCAGCCAGTGTGTCCCCCAACATTACAAATACTTACTCTTGTTTTTTGTCTGAATGTCACAAAATCAGTGATATTATCTGTGAAATTACAAATTGAACATCTGTTGGCAAATATAGCTTTATATTGCCATTGTTTTCAATTTGTTATTTTTACAAACACATCATAAAAATTGCTGTTTTAGGTATTAGTTTTGGTGTGCCACCCCTGGTTTTTCAGTGCACCCCCCCATGGCCCCCCTGAAAACATTTTTTGCAGACGCCACTGTTTTTAACCTAAAGACCAGCAGAACTCCTGCTGAGGCAGAAAACACATCAAACCTGTCTGATCTGATCAGCAGAACCTCTCCACACTCACCGGTTTCTCTCTGAGAGTAGTTAATCGTGTCTGCAGAGACGCAAAGGCAATTCACCGGGTCCCACAGTGACCCCGAGGCACAGGGGAGTTCAGGAGGCGAACACCTACACATCAAACACACACACAAACACACACAAACTCACACATGACAGTGATTCAGATACGCTGGAAAGGGTCACGCCTCTCCTCCCGCTTACTCACAGGTGATCTGCCGCCGCTCGCCTGATGATGGAGTGAAGCGGCCTCTTGGAGAGGCATTCGCACGAAGTGTGGTTGATGAACGTGACCATGACAACCGTACGGTCCATCCTGGGCGGAGACAGTTCCATCAGCTGACAGCAAGGAAAGTAAAGATTAGGGTGTTTTTCTTCCCTCCTGTTTCTGCTCTTATAAAAGCATCACTTGTTGCACACGCATGTGCGTGTGTGTGTGTGTGTGTGTGTGTGTGTGTGTGTGTGTGTGTGTGTGTGTGTGT